TGGTGGTGTGCTGTGGAGACAGGACCTGCTCTGCCTGTGGAGAAGAGATAGCTCAAGGGCTGTAACCTAGCTGACAACCCATGCTGTGGAATTGCCCATTTCTGCTTTTTGATGTTCTATTTGCTGGTTTTAAGCCATTTGGATGTTAGAACTAGCTACTGAGTCATTACTGGCTGGGATGATGGTCAAACCAGTGTGAGATTAAGCGTTAACTGGCTGCAAGCTGAAATCAAACTGAAAAGCTCATTAACTTAATATGAAGAATAAGTAGTTTGGGATTTTTATGCAAGCTCTTTCACTGACTTTATGTGCAAATTTATGTTCAGACTTTGCAAGGAGGTCTGGCTTCCTCTCTGCTCTTAGGTGGAGGAGCGTGCACCTGTATTAGCCCTTTGGTCAGAAGTGGGCTTTTGAGGCAAATCTCCTGGTGGTCCCCAGTTATTGCACTTGAGTAATTCACTCAATGTGCTACAGCCACTCACAGGCTCTTCGTGGAATCAGACCAGAGTTAGCCTGCAGTAAATCCCATGACAATAAGGTAATGTGGATGTAGCATTCTTGGCACCAACTGTTTCACTCTGCTCCTTTCAGTGTGCAATGTCTGCTGCTATAACCTCAGCAAAGTACACCGGGGGGATACTGCTAACGTCCCAAAACTGCTGCTGGGCTCCCGCCTTGTGCACAGGTTGCTGCTTGAGTTGACGTGCAAAGCCACGTCAGTGCTAACGCTGCCTTGTAGTTGATGTCCTGCTTGGTGCCAAATTCCAGCTGAAATCCGAGAGGCCTGAAGTGAGGTTCTCAAATAACTTTTCTCCTGCTTCTCTCACAAGTAGGGATTTGTCCCTTAATTACCCTCAGCTCCGAGGGCCCCCAAGTGCCTTTTCAATACCAATATTCAAGTTGTTTAATTCATCTCATACACAGTTCTCCCCTGAATTGGAGATAACTTTGAGGCAAAGGTATATTATTTATGTCCTGTGAGTGGAGGAATGCTGGCAGTGAATTGAAATCCTTGGCTAAAAGCTGCTGCAGTTTTGCAAATTCTGTCATAACATTTTAGCTCTACATTTTCACCAAGCTCAGCAAATAGGTTCAGAGTCCCTGATCCTGCAAAGTACCCTGCTTTAGGTTCACCTTTGAATCCAATCTGCTTTTTAATGCACGTTTTCCTATGGGGCTTTTCTCACTTTGTAATTTTAGGATTTGGATCAGAAAGAGATATAACGGAAGACTTTCAATAATTATTCTTTTCTGACAGAAAGCACATGTAAGTGCACAAGATTTTTGTGCTACTACATACAGATGCATACTTGAACTAGTGACCTGCCTATCTGTGGACCTTCCAGGAGGCACCTACTGCTTTTCATAATAGTTTTATTAACAAAGGATTCAATGGGAACTGGAAGAATGCATTTTTGGGAAGGGGAAAGAGAGGGTATATATATCTAGTCCAATACATGGGGGCAGGGAGGGAGGAATTGTACAAAGAGTTGTTCCTTAGCTCATCAGTTTACCCTGGCTAAGGAAAGATTTATTAATCTAAAACATTCCCTAGATACCTTTCCACTGAGTTATCTGTTATTTTTGTGCTTCTTGCTCAGACCAGACATCCAGAGAAGGTATGAGTTGCAGGATTTCACTTCGAAATTTCAATTTTGTTATACAGTTGTGTAACAAACAACTACATGTAGAGTTGAGGTTCCAGCTGATCTTGGATTACCTTATGCTTTCTTGAAAAAGTTGCTGTGGGGATAGAAAATACAAAGAAAAGGAGGGGAAAGATAGGCAAAAATTGTTTTCTCTCCACTTGACAGAGAGAAATAATTTTCCAAAGGCTGCAAATTGGAGTTTGTGGACAGCCAGAAAAATCTCCACTCTCAAATCTTTTATTTGGAACAATATTCCATGCCTGTATTAAACTGTTTTGCAAAGGTTATTTGGTGAGAGATTTCAAATTTCTTCTAGTTTGATTTTTGTAGTTCTGTGGTGAAGGCTTTATTTGAGCACCAGCAGGAGGATGATGTGAAGCCTTTCTGTGGTGTGTATAGGTAGACCATTCTAGGAATGGAAATTGCCGCTTTGGCTAACACATTGCTCTGTTCTGCTCAGAGGGAGACAAAAGAGGTCTGCAATGGGCAGTCTAAGGGAAAATGGTTCCAGAATCACAGAACCACCGAGGTGGGAAGGGACCTCGGACGATCACCTGGTCCAACCTTTCATGGGACATGGAGCCTAGATGACATTATCTAGCACCTTGTCCAATTGAATCTTGAAAACCTCCAGCGATGGGGACTCTATCACATCCCTGGGGAAGTTGTTCCAGGGACTGTAAAAGTTCCTTTCTTATATCAAGGTGAAACCTCTCCCAGTGCAACTTGTACCCTTTGCCCCTTGTTTTCTCCATATGGCTCCTTGTGAAGAGAGAACCTCCATCCTCTTTGTAACTGCCCTTCAAGTACTGGAAAACTGTGATGAGGTCCCCCCTGAGTCTTGTCTTCTCCAGGGAGAAAAGACCTAACTTCTTAAGTCCTTCCTCACAGGGCAGGTTTTCCAGCCCTTTGATCATCGTCATGGCCCTCCTTTGGACCCTCTCAGGTCTGTCTGCATCTTTCTTGAATTGTGGGATCTAGAACTGCGCGCAGTTTTCTCCTAGATGGCATTAATGTGGGGTTGACTTACGCACCCGAGCACATTACATCTTTTCTGAAATGCAAATTTACACAGATGGAGGAGTTCAGGTGTACATGGAGAAAACACAGGGGAACAAGTCAGTGCTCGTAGCACTTCAACCTGAGCAGCAGCATGCTCAGCAGTCGTGAGCCCTGCACCCTCACTATGTAAGGTCTGGATATGTGGTGGAGCTTCATGCTCTGCAGTGCAGCGCTGTGGGGTCAAATGGACAAAATATTGACATATTGAGCCATGAAGCACCCTGTCATAAGCTTCTCATTGAGTCTAGGTAAAAATCACTCACCTTTTTGGGCTGCCTGTGGGGACAGAGGGGCTGCTCAGGCTGTTACGGGGGGGGTGCTTACCTTGCGGCTCTTCCTAGAAGCTGATGACTTACAACAAAGTGTGATACCCAGTTACCTTTGGTAATTTGCTTCCTTCTAACAATTTAATCTGCCTGCATGTCATGTGCAAAGGCTATTCTCAAGTACCTGTTTTAGGAAAGGAGCGGACCTCCTGCCCTCAATCCAGCTTCCCTTTGCTTGCATCCTTGCCGTCCCTTGAGAGCCTTCCTCCATGCGAGGAAGTGTCCCAGGGTGCTGGGGAATCGGTGGGGGCAGCGCTGCCCTGGAGCTGAACCAGAGCAAATCACTGAAATTCTCCAGCAGAGAAAGCTAATGGATAGCACTGACACCCCTAGGTTTTCTGTTTGCCATGCAACCTTTTCAAGTTGTTTCCTCTTCTGCTAAGACTACAACAAATCCACTCTACGGTTTTCATAAATTTTTCAGTTGAAGTGTGTCTGGAAAACAGTATCCACATGGTTGCAGAAAACTATTAAGTTATGGTAAAATCAATTTTTGATAGGGGAAAATACTGATTTATTTTTAAAAAATTATCAATTTTTAGAGAAGGAAAGTAGCTGTAAAACTTTAAAAAATGCTAAAAAAATTTAGACATTTCAGTGAATGACTTCATGGTTTTGAATAAAATCTCCTCTTTCACAGAGGAGAACAGCTATAGCAAGCATTTTAGTAGTCCCTAATAACTGATATTTTTCTGCCCGCCACTTACAACTATAAAGCAGCCACTGGAAATGGCACTGTATCTTTAGGATTCCCTTTAAAATAAATGAGAAATACATATAATAAGATACTAATATACTATAGTGATAGTGGCATAATTCTGCAATGTATATTTTGCATACATCTCTCGCATATAAAAACTAATATGAGCATCACCCTTCCTATAGAGAGTGACTCTCATGTGGGCTTCAGGAAGATAGGATATCCCTGCCCTGCAGATGTCTAGAGCTTTTCATCATTCTGTATTTCAGGATATTAATTGCTGAGTTTGCTGTGATACCGGATTTTTGCTCAATGCCACCTTCAATCACCTCACCAGCTCTCAAATTTCTGCTCAGGCTGAGTAATAAGTATTTTGGGGAAATGAATGTGAAAGAGGATATGCAGTTTCAGCAAGGAAACAAGAAGTATGATATCCACTATATTTATATCTATGTATATCTCATACTGGGGTGACTCAAGTTGGACTTCAGTTAGAAGGCAGGCTCTAATACTGCTGTGAGTGTAGCATAAGGATATTTAATAACTGGAGAGAGATGCCAACTTTTTCCCATACTTAAGTTATGTAACTGTGGGGTTTTAGGAGGCCTGCTCTTCATGAATAAGGTTTGGTACTGAATTTTCATATACCTCGGATTTAATTTTTAAAGGAGCTTTTCTGATTTCCATATGTGTTGGAGACGAGTTTTTAATTCATTAGAATGGGTTGTAAAAAGTGGAGTTTCTTTCGCTGAATCTTGGTTCTATTTCCGTGCCACTCAGAAGCGAATGGAGGTTGAAACTTTTTACTGTCTATTTCTAAGATTTTCTGAAATAAAATCAGGTCTTCTGGCCCTTCTGTAAGTAAAAAAAGAGTCACCTGCGGTTCGTCTGCTGGCTGGGAAGGTGAACGGCTTGCTTTGGAGCACCTGAGAGCGGTGGGATCTCAGGCGTGAGGGGTGGTCATTAGGGAAGGCGTGCCAAGGCTCTAATTAATGTGGCTCTTTCTCTTTTGCTTGCCTTTGCTAGGAAACTGCTGGAAGAGTGCTGTGACCCTGGGCAGCTCTTTGCTATGACAAAGCTGAACTCCCCGATGGGAAAGAACCTCTGGTTTGATGGGGAGTTTTTATATTCTTTCACTATTGACAATGCAACTTACTCTCTCTTCCCACAGGTTAGTAACCTTTTTTTTTGTTTTGTTTTCAATTTAAGTATTAATATACTAAATGGTACAAATGAGTATAAATAGGCTAAATGCTTGTCAAGAAATTGTATCTGCATTTTTCAATATAAAGTGGTCTTCCCTGCTTTTTTACTTCTGTGTTCTGAAAATGATAAAAAGTTTGTATGCACATTAATATTTCTCTGGCCGCTTTTCAGGTGTGTGGGTGTGTACGCAAGGGATGAGGTTGGGCCACCCATCTTGATTTTGAAAATGCTAGGTTCTGGCTATTTTAAGAAGGTGACTTCTGCGTTTCAGTCGGTGATCGTGCTTGCTGGGAGCACGATCCCTCGTCTAGGATTGCTTCGGTTCAGGTCTGTTTAGCCAAGATGCGACAGGGCTTTGTGTGGTGTCCAAGTTGCTTCCAGGTTAATGAAGTTTGTTGATGGCAAGCAATGTGAGCCCAATGACAGAAGGTGGTAACTTGACTTTGTCGATTCTTGTTATGTTTTGAATATTAGAAGTAGTTTGTTGCTGTTCAGCAAAGGTGTTTTGGGTTAAGTGGGTTTTCAAGTGCTGGGAATTTGTAATACTGATCGAGGCTTTTTGTGTTTTTAACTAATATATGAACTGATGTTAAATAATGAGCTTATTATATTGAATTTTATATGTGGAAGGAGAGATGTTTTATGTGAGTAGGCATTTCAAGCCAAAAATCTGGATGTATTAATTGATTTATGTGTTACTTTAATTTCTCAAATTAAAGGCACAGGTAATTATTAAACCTTCCCGGTCAGTGTTGAGTCATTCACACCAGGGTTCTCATTTGTTGCTGTTGCAGTTAAGCACGTAGCAGCGTTCCTTACTTTTTAAACTCATCCTGCAAATAAAATGTCAAAAAGGTTGGTTTTTTTTTTTCTTAAGAAAAAAAAAAAGGGAGTTTTCAGATCTCAACAACAGACTTAGGACTTCGAATGAGTTTTTTTAGTGGGGAAAGACCGAAGGGAGAAACTGCAGTGTAGGAAAGAGGAGATGGGAAACAGCCGCTTTCTGTGCTAAGGCATCGTCTGGAGTAGCAGCGTTGCAGCCGTGTCTTGCTTAGGCTGCCAGTCCCGCTGTCTTGTCACCCGGCTGTGCCTGTTTCAATGAACCGGTTAATGGACCTCTGCCCCCCTCGGGCTGCTCCCCAGCTGCTGCGCCCCTGCAAGCTGGACAAACCAGCAGATGCTGAGGTGTGCATGGCGAGTGGGTCGTCTTTTCCTGCAGTACAGCTGGAAAGGGGCTGCCCGGCTGGAGTGAATTTCTCTCCCTTCCTTTGAGACTGGTAGAAAGTTTATGGTGTGTTGCAGAGTAGCAGGTGTAAATCTTTTTTTTTTTTATTTTTTTTATTTTTTTATTTTTTTTTTTTTAGGATGATTAGAATGATTTGTTGCTACAATATCGCACAGTTTATTGGAGAAAACTGAAATCCTTGGTAGAGTTGAGAACTTTGAACTTTGTACTATGCAAAGATACTGGCAGCAACTGCTCAAAATGTGTACATCCTTTTCCAGCCTTTCAGAAAAGCCCCACCTGGGCTGTCACAGGGAGGTCACTGTTTCGTGATGGATTTGGGTTTTCAGATTTGGTTTTCTTTTGGATTGAAACCTAGCACTCTGCCCGGCCGCAGTGGTGTCCTACCTCTTCCTGCAGGAAAGAGCAGAGTACTGGGGGGGCTCCTTCAGAGAGGTAAATGCTGGTTAGAGAGGAGTCATGGTCTTGGGAATTCCAGTGGTTCCCAGACTCCTGAGCCTGATCCTCAAAGTTTATCAGTTGGCTGGATCAAGAGCAAGGGTCTGGGAAGCCCTGGAGAGACAAACTGCTGAGGGGCAACGTGACCCTTTTAAGGAGTTGGGACTTCAGTGTCCCATAGGCTTGCCAAGCGGGCTGCAAAGAGGCTGGGGTAGATGCTGTTGCAGGGGTGGTGGTGGAGAACGTGGATTTTTATGAACAATGCTAGAAGGCAGCCCTAGGACCGGTGCCAGAAATGCCATTCCTTTAATGAGTTGACGGGCAGTTTGTTTCTGACACGTGCTACTCGCTGCTACTCCCGCCTTTCTTGCAAGTGGTGCTGCCTCCACCTTGATGTGTTATTCGTATGTACTTTGCCCGGAGGAATTTTACAAAATGTTATCAGATGAAATCCTGCTAGGCTTAAAAGCTTAGGAAGATTTATTTGCAGTAAATTCTTAAATGAAGTGTTTTTCTACCTCTCTCTTTGTTTAAAGAAAAATACTTGCCTAAATTTTTCAGGCTTCTACTTTGAAGAATGGTGTCTATTAGCTTGCTAGCAACCGGCAAGCGATTTTTGTGAAGATGAATATTCCTTTCAATAGTATCCAGAAGCTTAAAACCGCTTGCGAAATATGGGTAATACTCTGAAATGAAAAAAAATTTCCTCTGGAATAAATAAAAAGGCTCCATCCACATCCATGTGCTGGGCTTAAGCCATTTTGTGCTTGTGGAAGATTTCTCAGTCCTGAACCAGTTATTAACTTATAGGATAAAGTAACTCAAAACTAAATAGGAAACTTGCTGTATTTTATGGCATAGAATAAGCTGGCTATGCGTCAATGGAGACTTATACAGAAATAATGTAAGTATGTCAGAACTTAATATGTAAAATGTCACTTATTTTTGAATGTGAACAATACAAAACAGAATACTTTTTCCTCCGAGTAATCTGTAATGTTCTTACAGCTGGTTCAACATTTCTGATGGAGTGCTTTTCCAATAAAAACGCTATTTCATCAAAATATAAATTTAGTATCAGTTCATTGGTTTTTCAATTTTTCATTGAAGTGAAAAGGATAAGAGGTTTCGGTGGTGGTGTGACATTTCATTTTACCGTTTTTTGAATGTAATATTTCAACTTCTTTATATCATCTCCATTGCTAGCTTTTTTTATCAGACTTTGCTTGATTATATTCCACCCCCTTTTATTTTTTTTTTAAGTTTTTGATAGGCCAAGGGAGAAATTTGCAGAAGAAAAAAGCTTTTATGTGGAAATAATCATTCAGTGTCTCATTTCAGTTTATGAGAACAAAATTTGAAGTTGCAGAGTTTTGCAACAGAGTTTGAACCAAGAATTCTAGCTGCTGGAAGTGGCTCTTCTTACTCTCCCCCTCTCTGTGTCATTTTCCTGCCTGATTTTGGAATGAAATTATTTTTTGAAACAGAAATTAAGTATTACACAGACTGCACCATCTTTCCCACCCTGGAGAGAAAATGCCTGTGGCTCATTGTCAATACCTAGCGGGCAAGAGAAGATGCAGGGCAGGACGTGGCTCATCACAGAAGACGGCCTAATGTGCAGTGAGGGTGGGCATCTCACCTACATCTCATCTCCCAGCACATACTGCAGTGGCATGGCCTGGAGCTGTTGGATAATTCAACGTCATTTCAGTTAAAATCAGGCAGCTTTGTTGTATTACTTGCTGTGAACTACAGCATTATTTCCCACTCTTAGGAGACAGAAAGTGTAGAGCCTGCATATAACTGTAGGTGTAGTTTAATGTTAGCGACAAGAGGTTATTCCTCCTGCATACCTACGACTTTTCTAAAGCTTTTCACATAGACTTGAAGTTTCAATATTAGCCAGTAATTTTTAAACGTATCTGGGGGCACCAAGAGTTCAGAGATGCAGATGGCCCTACTTACAGTCCAGGTCAGCAGCATGGTTGGGTAAACCTCTGAACAGCCGGACTCCCGTGTTTCGGGTTGGCCACCAAGGGCCATGGGTAACTTGTAAATGTATTTCTTCTCCTTTGTGGTCCAACTATTACACAGAGAAAGGAACCGTGTGTTGGTGTTCGGGCATCCTGTCTGACAGGACAGAGACATACACCCTCCTTGCTCTTCAGCCTGGGAGTTTGGCCATGCAGCTCTGGTCCTGTTGCATTGTACTGAGGCAGGATGGAAGGCATGACTAGCGTTTTCCACCCTGTACTGTCCAACTAGAATGGAAGAAACCAAGCTTCCCTATATTCCTACAGTAATTTTTAGGTGCTATGTGTAAACATGGTGTGACCATGAGCAGCTGGGATGTAACTCAAAGCCACGTGGGAGAAACGCGAGCTAGCACTCGTCTGCCTCTGAGTTGGAGAATAAAACAAGCCCCAATTTCAAATGTTTTCTGAAATAATTTTGCACTCCTTCCTGCCCTTCTCTTCCTCAGAGTTTCAAAAGCAAATTTCAGGCTATCTTTACCATTAGAGGGAAAAAACCCCACCCCTCTCACGCCAGTATTTAGCTATTTATGATAATAATTGATTTTTGTTGCTAGTTGGCCAAACCTTATAGCAAGGAAGAACTGAGGCGACTTTCTGAGGTCTCCTTTGCTCTTCTCCCAAAAGCTTAAAGAAATAGTTTAAACGAATGGAACTTTTCACTCTGCTGTGTAAAGTATTATTTTGGAGCGTGGAGGAGTGAATACGTTTCAGAAGAAATTTCAAATGTTAAGCTTCAACTTTTTAATCTGACAGAAAAAAAGAACTAATTGAAAAATTTTCTAGTTTTATTGTATTTCACCTGAAGCAGTTAGACATATTTGGTACCAGTAAATTATTTCAAATTACTAAAATATGATTCCCCAGCTGCTCAAATCCCTTCTAAAGTTTCACCTGCACAATGCTGTCAGCTAGAAGAATGGCTAATTGCAACGAGCTTTTCATGAATAAGCATCACAAACGGTGTTTGAGAAATCCAAAGGCAATAGCTTCAAGCCACAAATAAATTTGGGAAAGCTGGAAGCTGTTTCTGCATACCTTGTGATTGGGAGGAAGGCAGTGCTTTTCAAATTATTAGAGTTTAAATTCTTGTCTTTGATATAAAGGCAGGGAAAAAGTTAATGTCTCTGCCTATAAGTGTAAAATGGCAACAGTCTTTGATATTTTCTGGGTTATCGTGGTGACTGTTGTATTGAGTAACAGTGAATGATTTGATGTTTTTGGTATGTGATTTGTGGCTTTTAT